ACCACGGGCAGGCGCGACGGTTCAGCCGTTTATTTCGGGCGGCACCCGCACCGTTCGTCTGCCTGCTACTGCTTTCCTCCACACGCCCAACGTATCGATTGATTGGTTCTCGAGAGGTCCTGGCGCCGCAACGCAAATCTTAGCGCGTAACTCCTTGTTTCTGTTGCTTCATTCGCACAGGAACTGCAAACACGTATTTTCAATAGGTCAGAGCTGCGGACGATGGTGTATTAACTCTTTGCGGCGATCTCGCCCTTCATATATTGCCTGCTAACTTTCAGATCATGACCGCCATTATTATCAGCTTATTAAAATACACTCCTGGGTAAAGTAATATGTTCCTGGCAGGGTTGAAGGCTAGCTTTCATTGAAAGCCTTTTAGTTCCTCCCCACTCAGCGGCTCTTTCCGTAAGATCTTTCTAAGCGACGCAATGCCATTCAAGACTCGCATTGCTGTAATCTTGGTGGGGGCACAAACTCACAATTTTTACAATTTTTGTAATACTAGGCGCTGACACCTTGCGAGAAATGTATGTCTCTTAAAACTATCATCTTGTTTAAGAAGTGCTCTGAGTTTACGCTGAAAAAGATGAATTCGTGGCGTATTTCAGGAATTTAGAAAAAGCTTGAATTTAGAGAAAGTTTGATATATAAATTAGTTGTTTTCTCTTATGTATATCACAAAGGAATTCTTGGTAGCATAATCAGAGCATTCACTGAATTGCATCTTGAAGTACGGAAGATTATTTTTCTAAAAAACTCACACTCGACATTGCAAACTCCTGCCATGAAATTGTATTTGGTCCAATTTAGATACAGCGCTTTTAATATTGCAGTAAAGTGTGGAGTATATTATGTGAATTCGACGTTCTTTTCTTGCAAATTATTTCATTAGTGATTGTACTACTTCTAAGTTTGTTCTGTCAATAGTCACCAATATATGTAAGTTGTCTGTTCTGTCATTTCAGCTAAGCACGTTTATTCATCATTATCACTGTTCGATATATTTATGGCATTCACAAGTTTTGACGATTATCACTTTATTATAAAAACGTCAGACTTGTTTCGAGAAGGAATTTTGAAAATTTTTCCGCATCCATGTCACAACTATTTGCGATATACAATTTTCAGAATCTCAAGAATGCTGGTTTTAACAACGTAAACTGAGGTAACTATAGGTTTTTAATTTTACATTGTAGAACTAACAAAAATATCTATATTTTTGTAAGGCTATCCATGGCCACGAACTTCACATAACTCTTGTGTTTCTCGAATACATTTGTTTATCCAGCTCACTCCGTATGTAGAGAAAGAAGGCTGCGCAGATAGAGTCAACATTACTGTAGAAATACATTCAGAGTTTATTAAAATTAATTTAAGTGTCGGCCTAATGCGGAAATTTGTATTTTAAAAATTAAAATATAGTCCAAATACTTGAATAATGTGTTTACAAAATTAAATTCACATCATATGAAAGTACTTAATTGTAGGTTTAATATAAGTGTAGCTGTATATTTCTGTAGGAAAAGGTAAAAAAATGCGTGAAAAATATTTAAATATTAGCGCGTGTAAGTTTCTTCTGAAAATAATAATTGGCAATATGTCTGAAAAGCGTGGGATTCAAGAAAAAACGTGACACTTGTTTTCAACCCTAGAACTTATAAACAAAGTTTCAAGTTCGCACCTGGGGCTGATAAGGTCCCAAACAGTTTTTTTGAAGGACCTTCCTGAAGTTGGACTCCAGTATTTACTTCGCGTTTGTAACAACACTTTCCCGACCAATGCACTATGGTTTCTGGAGCTCGATTCTGTGGCCAAAATGCAATTTTTCAACTTTATTAAATGAAATTTCTGGGCACCATAATGTGAACTAAACACTTCAAAGTTATCAGTTTTATGCCCACTTTGTTGACTGTTGGCCCCCCTGTCGCGAGGCATGATTGTTAAGTTGGTACTTTCCCGTTAGGTCTCTGAAGTGAAGTGGAAGTGGAAGCTGTCAAGCAAAAGTCAAGTTTTAAAGTGTGCTGTCTTTGCATGTTTATTCGGTTTTCTTTGAAATTGGTCATTTTGTTATCTTCCATATATGTATTTTTAATAGCAATTAGTTTTAATGCACAACTCAATTCACAGTTCATAAAAAATGCCATTTCTGTGCATTTTAGTTCTATTGACAATAACTTCGAAATTTGAAATTTGACTTTTAAAAAAATGACGGGGTTTTAAGGGCTTGGGGAATGGCTTATTCTGTTAGGTTATTATTAATCATGTTTCAAGCTCCAGCTGCAAATAAATGCAACTTTTGACAATTTTTTTTTTCATGAAACATGCATCGTTTCAGAAATGAAGACCTATTCGATCTGTGGCGTAGAGCTTTGATAGCAATGCATATATCACGCTAATTAGTGACTATAATTGAGAATATTAAAAATAATCCAAATTCATTAAATGAATTGAAAATTTAGTACAAAATTTGCCATTTACACCAAAATTTTGAAAAAAGGTGGTATAGAGATAACCGTCAAGATTTTTTTTAGAAAAAATGTTTTGGTCCAAGGATAGATTCATCATCGAGATAAAACCACAGCCATTATTTTCATCATCTGATCAACATCGCCTTTCGTTTGCGAAAAATCAAATAGGGCAATAAGACGGAAACCTTTCCAGTGGTCACACATAAGGTTTCTGGTTTAATTGTGCAAGCGGCAAGTAAGCTCATTATAAAAATGTCACAAACAGTTATTTTAATAGAATGTAGACTACAAACAGATAAAAAAGTGAGGAGACTGTGTTTCGAGAGAAAACGTTGTTTGTACACACTTAGAGAATCATAGGAGTTTATTTTAGATCATTTAAGTAATAATCAATAATTGCATATAAAAAGTAATTTACTTTAGACAATAATTTAAGAAAGCAACAATATTTGAAACACAAACTCAGTGCACTATCTATCCAGACTACAAGAAGATTTTGAATTTGAAATATATATGTCGATAATCTACACATAGACCGTTACTACAACCGACATTAGTTGCGAAACTTCTTTACAATATATTTTAGATCTTACATCGGAACGAAAAATGTTTTTACAAGAAGTTATTCAGCATATGGTGTCTATTAAAAATGTTAGCAATATTAATGCGGAAATTATTTTTGTAGTTATAGTTTGAATGGCATTTTGGGCTTACAAATGTATACGCAAAATTTCGGTATTCCTGGCAATCACTCTAATGCTTGCATCCACTCTGATACCACGTCGTTTACAGACAAAAGATGATGTCATTTAAAAACACGGGATTAACATTAGGTTATTTTGGAGAAAAGGGGTCGTAAGTAAGAAATAAATTTACAAATGTGATCGATAACATCGGGTGAGAAAAAGCGACAGGCGGAATAATTTAGAATACATTTTCATTAACGCTTTCGACTACGACCTCAGTTACAGTGACTTCTAGCATTTATTTAGATGAAAGGATTAGACATCAAAACAAATTAAATAGTCCCTCTGAAATAATAGCTATGCTGACAAAGAACAAAGAAAACACGGAACTCACAGAGAAATAGTAGTAGGAGAAGGAGGAGGAGAAGAAGAAATGTGCAAGACGGAGAAGATGTTTTGAAGAATGATAAATGTATTTTGAAAGATCCCAGAAGATTATTGGATGCGGTATAATTAGATAGTAAATTGAAGGAGTTAAGCTGGCATCTATTAATTCAACATTTTAGTTAAAAAATTTTAATATTTTGTGAGTTTTTTACTTTTTTCTAGTATTACGGGTGGTTTCGTTATTTAAATGCGTCAGATGCATTAACTCTTAATACATTCTTCACAATTTGCAGTTATTAATTTTGGCCACAAAAATTGGTCTTGGAAACCATAGTGCAATGGAGAGAAGCTAATGTTATCCCCATCCCTAAACCTACTAAGGATCCCACTCTATTCACAAACTACCACCCAATCTCTCTAACAAATAACATTTGCAAGATATTAGAGAAGTAGGTTTGTCATGGCCTGAAATGGATACTAGAAAATCGCAACTTAATCACACCACACCTAAGCGCCTTTAGATCCACAAATGACCTCCTGGTAAATGTCTATACTACAATATGTGATGCCCTAGCTATGAAGCAACATGTACTGGTGGTTTCAATGGACATTGAAAAAGCATGTGAAATGGTCTATAAAGTTAGACTTATATCCATTCCTGATAAATAACATATAATAGGAAATATGACCTTAGTGTTCTATTATTCCTTCTTGTTATTAAAGAAGCAAGCAGTGCACTAGTAGAATCAGTGAAAATATTTCATTTTGCAGATGATATTGCCTTGATATGTAGTAGTAAAAACCTTAAGGTTACTAAAAAAATAATTATGTAAAAATCGGTAGATATAGCCATCAAGTAGTCAACCAATGCAGGAATTGCAATCTCGAAGACTAAATGACGATAATAAAGAAGTGTTTTTAAAACTGTGTGATCCCCAACTA